AGGACACAATAGCATAAAGGTTTGCTGACTTTCCTGGTCTGTGACTAGGGTTGCAAGGTAGCTGGTTTGTTGGATGCAGATAAGCAACAATAGCTTAGGGAATATGAGGTTAGAGAGATTGGTGAAGATGCTTCGTGTCAAGCTAAGAAACAGAATATTTATAATTGTCTTAGTCAAAGATCCTTTGAAGCAAAAAAGAGAAAGAAATTATAATGATATAATGATTTATGATGTAATTCAAGGACAGAGAGCACAGGTGATCTGTCCGCATCCAAGTTGTCCCCTACCAGCAGTAGTTCTGGACTCTATTGTCTTTATTTTTCTCTGAACTTCTCTAGGAAAGGGAGTTTACACAGTTCTACCAGGAGTTGCACAGCTCTGGTCAATCCAGTATTCTCTAGGGATCAGTTACCTTGCACATAAAAGAAAGTGTTGAGAATTCTCATTTCTAAGGCTCATGGCCTCTCTCTGTTTCTTTGTGTTTCTGCCTGTCTTTCTGGCTGTCTCTGTCCTTCTAGTTCTAAGACAGCTATAAAACTGTAGTAATGTCTGATACCTAAAAAGAATCTGTAAAACATTATAGGTGCTTGAATTTTCAAACTGGATTATTCTACTGGGTAATATACTGTGAAATGCGAGCATATATTTAAAGGCACAGGATAAAAAGATAATTTATTATTTTTATAAAAAAAGTGTATTTGGTACAGGATTTCACTATGCAGCTGAGACTCATCGTGATCCTCCTGTCTTCAGCCTCCCTAGTGCTGTGATTACAGGCGTGCCTCACCATGTCTGGTTTTGATTGCCAGCTCAGCGCTCCCGGAGTTGGGGCTGGCATGGTATTTGATCTGAGGGATCAAACCTGGTGCTCAGTCCGCAGAGTTACTCACTGGTTCTATGATAATTTATTCTTGAACATAGTAGTAAGCATTTCCTGGCAGTTTGTGAAATCACATAAATAGGACATCCTCTAGGATTGTGATTCAGTAGGTCTGTCTATGTTCTACAAATACAGATTTCTAAAAGGTGCTTCAGGTCACTAATAAGACAAGATCCTAGGAGCACTCTGTGGCATATATCTCCAGTCTTTTTGACACTAAGGACAGGCTTCATAGATGACAATTTTCATGAGTCCCAACATGGGAGCATGGCTTTCAGAAAGATTCAAGTACATGCATTTAGTGGGCACTTTACTTATGTTATTGTTACGTTGTAAAAAATAATGGAACAATTGTGAAACATATGATAATATAGAATCAGTGGGAGTCTTGACAACTTTTTTGCCTGCATCTCAATGGTACCACCTAGGAGTGATAGGAAACAGTGACAGCTGAAGTGCATTGTTTATGTGCAGTGTGCCCAAATCTCATTTCGTTTGGTATCATTGCACAAAACCCTGCTCCACAAAGATAGGATTTTGAAATGGAAGCATCTTCTCTATGGAAATCTCAGGCTGTTCTACTTTGACTTTAATCTAGAATATATGAAGATTTGAAGGCTATTGGCATTTGTGATCTCAAGCAGCTGATCCTTTTCAATCGCAATGTAGATTCACTTGTTTCATTCACAAACAGGAGGCAAATCTATTCCTTCCCAGTTCAGATGTCTGTTGTGGTTAGAAAGTACTGCTCACTCATTTGAAAGCTGAAATAGATGGTCAAGTATCAACTGGCAGAAAAAAAGTCATGGCTCAGGTCTTTCAAAATCTTCACAAATGTTTGAATCATGTAAAAAATCTCAATGTTGACTTATTGCCCCATGATTTCAGTTCCACTGTGAATGCAGCCACATTTTCTGCTGACCTGAACACAGTTGTTTTCCCCTTAAGTTCAGATTGAGTTCATTGAGTAGGTTGAGTATGTCACTTGAATAAACAAAGTTTGCAACCATTCTGTGTCACTGAAATGTGCTGTCAGGGGGTGGCTGTTCTAAAAAGAAATATCATAATTCAGAAAGTCTGGCCAATTATCTGGTCACACCCTGCAATAAATGTTAACTTGTCTGGCTAGCCAGCATTTCTTTATAGCTGACCCAGAGTATGGACTCACATTCAGAAGTGTCTTCATTGATCTGAATAGTGAAACTAGATAGTTGTCTAGTCATGCATGTGCTCCATTCCTGCACATACTAACATAAAAGGACCAACTTAGCTGCCTGATATGCAAACAAAGCCTTGAGTAGTTCTGTAGTTGTGATGTAAGTTGGCAACCAAAGAGCACATAACATATCCCCATGCACATCCTCCTGAAAAATTCTTCACACAAATATAGGTATTGTTGCCTTACTCTCAGCATCAGTAAACTTGTAAACCTGGATTACCACTGCAGTGACTCATACATGGATTGGTACTGGACCTCTGGTCCACAGGAACCACTTTTGGATAAAAAAAATCTCTATTACTTCTGTTGAAAACCAATTCATCTATTATAAAGTTGAATGTGTAATATGGATAACTTCCTAAGACAGAAAATGACAGTTCAAAGAAAATGAACACTAGGATTCAACACTAGGAAGGATTTTAAGACAGGAGCTTTGTCTTTTAGACTTCATGGAGTCTTTGCAGAAGTGGGGCCATGGCAGAGATTGAGAGCAAAGACTGATGCTGGACAGCAACATGTAAGGAAAAGTGATAGGGAAAAAATTATAATCTATAGTATAGGATTATAATTACTGACACTAGGTTATTTATGATAGATTGATTAGTTAGTTGATTTCTAGGCTCCCATATTGTCTCAAATGCTAGAGGTTAAATAGTGAGAAGAACATGCAGCGCTCCAAAACTCATTTGCCCAGTCTATTAGGCGAGGTAGGTATATGCTTAGATAATTAAATATAACACCTTACCAAGTTTTGTTATAGAAAAAGAAGATGTGTTATAAAGTAAGTGTCGGGGCTGGGGAGATGGCTCAGTAGAATAAGCACTTGCCTGGCAAGCCCAATTGTCTGAGTTCAATCCCCGGTTACGCAAAAGAAAGAAAGAAAGAAAGAAAGAAAGAAAGAAAGAAAGAAAGAAAGAAAGAAAGAAAGAAAGTAGGTGTCTACTCCATTTTACAGTGTTCTGGAAATGCTACTTGGAAGAGATGGTCTTTAGATTGAGAGTTGATGGCATCATAGTGGAGGAAACCATCACATGGAAGGAAGATATTCCAAGGGGAAGACATAGCAAATAAAGACTAGAAGAGGCAAAAAGCATGGCAGAAGAATAAGATGCTAAATGGACAGTGGGGAAAAGTGATGCTGGTGATAGAAATAGAGGCTCGATGTTTGGGGACCTGACATCAGCGAAAAGACATCCGAATAACTTATAGTAGTTGATTGGGATGTTGCAGAGTCTGCGACCAGAGACTCGATTACTGCAGTAATCAAAGCAGCCCAGGAACTGATCTGGAAGTCATGCCCACACATACTTCTTGCATTCATGGTGACAGCAGCAAGCCAGGATCCAAAGAATAAGAATATTCAACACCCTCATTAACAAGCAAAATCAATGAAGTCCAGTGAAAACTGGCTTTGTCAAGATTGCGTAGTTATTGACAGAACTGGATGACCTCTTGGCAGGGCAACTTCTGGTTAGTGGAAGGCTTTGTGTCCAACCAAGAATCTAGATTAGAAAAAAATGCAGGAGGAATCCCATGTCCCCAGATGCATGGGAGAAATAAGACTTCCCTGGACAAGTATTTCTGGTAAATGCTACCTCTTATAAGCCACTTATGTAGGACTTCCTGGTGGATGTTAATATAACAACAGCTTTAAAAGTCCTATGTAGAGCAATCTATTTGGTTTTGTTTAATCTAGTCTTTTTCAAATTTATTTCACTTCCACCTCTCCCCAAGGTTTAACCCTCTCAATGTTGTTAATATACCACTAGACTCACAGGTCACTGGAGACACAATTTGGGAAGTTATTCTGGTTAAAAAGGCCTTGGGACGCACAAGATCATGGTTAACTATACCATTCAACTGTACCTGCCATATCCAGAAAATAATGTACCTTAACCAATACCTGTTTTCAATTGTTAGGAATAATGAATATCAAGAGAAGAGAAATCTGTGTCTGGAATAAGACATACGTTTGAATCTCAACTCAGATCATTCTGGCTTTATGCCATCAATAATGTTACTTGACCACGTAGCTCTCAAATGGTTTAAAATTTCATCTTTTCAAGTGTTTTCTGGAAGCAGTTCAACTTAATCTGTATGCTTAACATAGGTATTGAATGGGTTTGTAATGGTTAAGTATTTTCTGATTTAGTATTGAAAAATGTGCATTTGAGTTTTGCTTTGCTAAATACTGGCTATGTGACTAAGAAAGAGAACTCAAGCTCCCAGTGCCTCAGCCTCATCCTATACATGATGCATATAGTAAGAGCATTTAATTCATGGTATGGTTGTGCAAATTAAATGACTCCCTATATGTCAAACACTCAGCACTGCTTCTGGCATACAGAAACATCTTTAAAAATGCTCACTTTTATTTTTAATGCATTAAACCTACTACTTCATTGTCTACATGGGATGGAAGCTGAAATATGGGATCAACTGACAAGAAAAATAATTCCTTGCAAGAGGATTATATAACTCTATCATTTTGCCTCTGTACATCTTGAGAAACAGACAGCTGACAGCTTCTGATGTGGATATATCACTGGGTTGTATATTTATTTCTCTAACATTTTTTTTCATTAGCAAAGATAAGTGTGGCAAGATGGAGATTTGGCTGTCTCTAAATGCCTTCTTCCTGTCACCCAGATCAAAGAGCTGCTCTGCTGTGCATTCATCATTTAGGGAAGAATAGCTTGAACCATGAAGTTAGTCCTGACAAGGGAAATTAGGTGTTGTTTCTGTGATTTATAGAACCATAGACTGAGTTGTACAATTTCTTATATAGGAAGTGGGGTTTTCCCAGTTGGTATTTCTTCACTAAGCAGTGGGATCTGGGACTGATAATATGAAATGGGTTGAATAGCTTTTGCTCTCAGACCGCCGCCATCATGGGTCGCATGCATGCTCCCGGGAAGGGCCTGTCCCAGTCTGCTGTGCCATATCGCCGCAGTGTCCCCACATGGCTGAGTTGACGTCTGATGACATGAAGGAGCAGATTTACAAACTGGCCAAGAAGGGCCTGACTCCCTCGCAAATCGGTGTGATCGTGAGAGACTCTCACGGTGTTGCCCAAGTCTGTTTTGTGATGGGTAATAAAATCTTGAGAATCCTTAAGTCTAAAGGACTTGCTTCAGATCTCCCTGAGGACCACTTAATTAAGAAAGCAGTTGCAGTTCGGAAGCATCTGGAGAGGAGCAGGAAGGATGAGGATGCCAAGTTCCGCCTGATCTTTATTGAGAGCCGGATTCATCCATTGGCTCTATACTAGAAGACCAAGCGGGTCCTCCCCCACACTGGAAATATGAGTCATCCACAGCCTCTGCCCTTGTGGCATAAATTTATGTACTTGAGCAATAAAATCATGACTTAACTGAAAAAAAAAGAAATGGGTTGAATAAATTCAAGGGCCACCACTTGGGATTTGGAAGGGTGGTGGATTGCAAACTGGTGGTCAACTTCTTACAACAAACTGACCTAAGCTGGTGTGTGTGGAGGATTCTGGGTGTGTGTGGCCCACCTGAGAGTTGTTGCCAGCAGTGTAAGAGACAGAATTGGAGAAGCTGTTGGGAAGCTGTTGGGGTGCTCTTGGAAGCTGCTGGTTCTCTTGGGCTGTTCTGTTGAGGGACCTTGTCATGCAGGCTTTCCTGGTAGACTTGGTTGCTCTGAGGAGCAGCTTGGGACCTTGTTGTCACTGAGAATGACTAGGGCTCACTTTAAGGGGGAGCTGTGGTCTTTGACTTGGGCATCTCTTCCTGGCTCTAAAGGGGAGGATGGTACACTGTTCAGTTTCCTGAAAAAGCTCCTCACATTGGCTTTCCTGATGGGAACTCAGCTTTCCTCATTGCTGGAGGAGCTTGGGACCTCATTATTGCTGAGAATGGCTATAGTTCTTTTTAGGGGAGCTCTGTTTATTACCTTGAACATTGCTTCTTGGCTCCAGTGCAGATTCCTCAGCCTGCTAGAACAGATCCTTCATTCTGCTTGCACAGACTTTCTAGCTTCCACCACTGACCTTTGGGCTTTTCCATGGTCACCCATGAAGCACACCTGCATGAGACATTGTTGTGGGCTCTAGGCCTCCAGTTGGACTTGTGGGAGGCATTATTATGAGCGCTAGGTTTTCAGCTGGACTTATACAAGATATTAGGATCCAGGCCCACAGTTGGGTTCTTTTATGTGGACAGATTTCTTGCACTCTTTATATAGATTCTTTGAGTAATTAATTATAAAATTTTATAAAATTTGTCCTGTATTGTATTGTTTCCCTTGTAAAGCCCCAAACAATGACAGGAACTATGAATACAAAATGGACTCCTTGCTCTGTTGTGTTCTAGCTAGATGATCCTGTGCCAACATGTTCTGGGCCCCCTCACTTCCTCACTGTTCAGCATTACTGGGAACAGTAAGAGCTACTCCAACTGAAAGTTATTGGGAGCTTTATGGAAACTAGTTGGAGATTCCTAGAATAAGATGAGGCTTAGTAGAGGTCTCTTCTCTTTAATTCACTCTTGTCTTTATCAGACAATCAGTGGTGTGTGTGAACTGCTCTGCAGAGTGAGTATTACTCTTGCAGTACATCGAACTGATTTTGTATAGAATAGTTTCAGGTTCCCAGCAGAGAGTACCTGTATATTCCTACTGACATGCAACTAGTCTCCCCCACTATCAACATCCAACACTAGCATGGTACATTTGTTATAGTTGATGATCGTATCCTGAAATGTCTGTCATCCACAGTCCATCATTTATGTTGTTGTGCATTCCATGTGCTTTGATGGATGTATAATGACATGAATATACTATTACAGTATCATGCAGAGATCTATGAAAATCATATATGCTTCTGAGCTCTAATAAATTTATAGTTGAAGGTTTCTATTTCCCTTTGCTTTCTGGTTTCATAGTTGCAGCCACCTTCAAGCAATCTTTGAGATGACTCACCACACCCACCTTCCATCCATGTCTGGGAACAGGCACAAAAGTCAACTAACACTGCCCACTCTGCTCCCTAGATGTGTTCTCACACATACTACTTAATTATGCATTTATTGATTTTAACATAATTACTCCTTTCACTGTTAGACCACATGAACATAAATCATTCATTCTCAAATTCCATTGTCTCCTCTGGCTTCTGGGGAAATGAGTGATTGGAATCTCCTGCAGCTACTAAGAGGAGGTATGCTGATGACTTCATGGCAGATGGCCCTGGTAGATCACCTCAAGTGTCCCAGGATGGTTAGAAATCTCTGTTTCTGTGCAGACACTGCTGTAATGTTCTTTGCAATCCTTACCATACCCACCAGTCCTTATTCCTGCTGACCAACTAAGCATGAGGTGAACATGGACAGCAGTTAGTCTTCCTACAAACATAGGATGTCAACCTATGTATGTTGCTTTCCTCTTTCTGTAGGACCCTAGATGCTTCTTAATTTATACCAGCAATCACTTCCTAGGTCCCCCCCAAAAAATCTGTCATTGTTTACTCCGTTAGTCAGTGCCTCCAAATGTTTTCAAAAGGGACTCTATCACCCTAATTTATTCCATTGATTTTCAAAGGCTTCAAGGTAATTTGGTCCTGCTATAGTGTCTAGTTGTATTTCTTTCAACTATTTTGCTACAACAGCACAACAGCAGTGAAGAAGTGAGCTTTAAATTCTTATCAGAGCATTTTCCATTTCTATGGAATTTAACACTTATTTCTGGTACCGTCTTACGTGTCAATCCTTTTTTCTGGAGCTGGATACAGAAAAATCAAATATGCAACCTTGGGTTTCACTGTCTGACAGGTGAGAAGGTCATGTAAAGAAACAAACTGCAAGGAAATTTGAGATCCACAAAAATTGAATGAAAGGAAGGGAAGGAGAAACAAGGTCTCTCAAGGTATAGCAAAGGGAAAGATCGTTGGAGTTCACCAGGAAGGAGGAAGGGGCATTGTAGGTGGAAATTACCCTTTAGACCAAAGGCATAGCATGAAGAAACACTTGTGGTTATGAAATAGTGCAGTGTCACAAGAAGTTGGGAGGTGGCGTGTCACAGAATGTGAGCAGTGGAAATACGTTGGGAGAAGAGAGACAAGCTGAAGAATGAAGGGACTTGGTCCACTAGAGAGGGAAAACTTTAACCAGAATGTAGGAGAAATTTTTCTGAGATATAAGCAAGAGGGTAGAATATGTGGTGATATTTTAGAAATGATTGCTGGAAATGATTGCTGGAATAGGTGGCATTGATACAGTGAGTGTAATATGGATGTTATGACTGTTGTCTATAGAAGACACATTGCTAACTGTGCCAGAGACATTGTAGGACTAGAAAAGGGAGGTTGGTTTTGAGGTAGAGAGAGGAGTCCAGCTGACTCTCAGTCTTTTCCTGGAGCTACCAATTTGATGTGGGTGACGCAAGAAAACCTGGAGAAAGAGATTTGTATGCATATTAACACATTTTCTTTGCTTCAGCCATTTATAAATTGGTTTGTTTCATTCAGCATTCTGTATGAACTTCACCAAATATTCAATTCATTTAAGCAAATATTGACTGACTCATGTTACATTTTAGGTCCTATGGGAGACCTTGAAATAGGGCCAGAGCATAAAATGATAACAGATTATTTTGTCTTTAGAAAGTCTTTCCCTTCCTTATTTGGTATAGATTTTTTCAGCTATGTGACCAAGCTTATTAATTTTGTAGAGATAACAAAATCCTTGGGCTTAACGTGAAGACTTCAGATCATGCTTTTTGAGTCTTACAGTCTGTAAACATCTCAATATCAAAAGTAACTGACATGGTATCAGGTACATAAGACTAACTTTAATGTCAACACTATAGTCCTTACAAGTATAAGGTATGGAATTTAATTCATAGGCTTAGTAACTTTCTGTGTAGATAGTTCCACATATCTTAATCAAATGCAGAATATTTACTGAAAATTTCAGATTACTCAGACATTGTTATGGTTTTTAGAGCAGGAGGGCCCTTTCTTTGTATTTCCACAGCCTTCCGTGTGCCTTACTTCAAATCATTTCAACCATAGTGATTTTAATTCTTCATGTGCATCTTTGCCATTAAACCATGGATCCTTTGAAGTCAGCCACTGGGCCTTGTTCATCTCCTCTTTTAACTTTTAGGCAGCACGTGGTAAGGAGCACAAAGTTTAGTGCATGTTTATTGAACCTAATTAAATCTTCAACAATATAACTTCTGACCTTCTATTTTTCAGATGGAGAACTGCTGCTTAGAAAAGCAACCATTTACAGATTATAAGGAGGAGAGTTACAAGGGAGTCAGGAACAAATCTTAGCTTACTTTGATTGCTTAACATTGTTCTGGCCATTTTCTCCTCCTGCCTAACTTGGTTTGCTAACTAGCTAGAAATTAGAAGCATTTACAAGTTCTGGAAATGCAAAGCTTGTTGGTTATGAAAACCAGTTGTCATGCAAATTAGTCCTTATGTTAGGCACAGGATTTGTCTCACAGGTCCCTGCACTCACTCCAAAGTCAGCAGTCAGCAGTACAAGGTTTCATTTTCCTTTGACAAACACACACACACACACAAAGAGAGAGAGAGAGAGAGAGAGAGAGAGAGAGAGAGAGAGAGAGAGAGAGATGACTCAAAGTAGCACAGCTGAAAAGGATGAAATCTTGGCATTTATTGTTTTTGTGTGGCTTAAGGTCAGGGGTGACAGGATTCAAATGGACTTTGGTTCATCAAGTTCTTCCCTTATTTTCCATGTCCATCTGTAAATAGGGATAAAAAATCCATCTCAGGGGGTAAATCTGAGCATTAACCAAAAGGATAGAGCAGTTTCATTACAAAATGACTCTACCACCTTGGTCCTTTCGTTAGCCTCTCTGGGCCACTGTATCTGCATCTGTAAATGGATTAAATTAGATGATTTACATACAGAGGCCTGTGAAGCTGGAACATTCTATGATGCTTCTCCCCAGGGATCTAGCTGGACTCTGGAAGGAGTGTTGCAAGGACTGAAGGCATAAGAAAGGAGTGATCCTGCACTGACACAATGCTGGCTGCCGCTGCCACGCAAATGTTCTCTGTTTGATGTCAGTCTTTTATCAGAGTGTTTGTGCTCTATCCAGGCTTTGCCTGGCCATTGCACCAGTCTCCATTCTTTTCTTCAGGGTTCTGGGAAAGAGCCAGTGGACCGGGAGACTCAAGCAGGATTTCTTCCCAAGAAAAGCCTGGATGATGAAACTTATGAAATTCAGAGAAAATTCCTGTTTTGTATTCTAAAAGCTTCACGTATGTGTGCA